CAAACCCCATCAACATGACTAAATTCATCCGAACACTTAAGTTAAACTAAACATGATTTTGCATATAAAAGCTAAGTATGCGAGGAATGTTCGGAGAATTTGAATAAAATCTAAACATGATTCGGAGAATTAACTAACTTAACATGACATGGTCGGCACGGCTACGGCTACGGCTACTCATAACTCGCATGCATGCTACTAATAAAATTAATTTAATGAACATGCTACTCTCGGTCAAAAGTCGACGGGAGTTACCTCTTGTTAAGCCCTAGGGACTAAACTCCTCGAACTCCCGTGCTCTCGGTCATGACCTTTCGCGTGCGTGCGTGGACGTGCGGTAGCGTGCGGTGGCTACGGCGATGCGCGATGGCTCTCGGCAATTTCTCCCGAACAACACTCTCAACTCACACAATGCACTCACTATATCTCTCTAACTCTCGGCACTTGGAGGAGAAAAATGAAACAAATTTCCCCAAGGCCTAACTTATAAAAACCGAACGCATTGAGGGGGGGAGAGGTCATGGTCAAATGCTTGGACACTTGTCACACATGCCATTTAGTGCTAGGACATTTCATGCTAGAAGCCAAAAAGACATGCAAGACTTCTTGCCTCATAATGTCACGTGAAAATGCTAGCAAAGTGGAGAGGAAATGCTTGAAAGTGCACGGCATTTGCATGAATTTGAACAACACTTACACAACACTCCAAATGAGATGCACGGCTACCTAGCATGAATTGAATCTTGTACCAAAGTCTAGCAAAATGACAAAGGGGAGCGCACGGTCTTCATGACTAATGTTGGGGAGAATCTCTTGGACAAAAGCACTAACATATACACGGCCATGCACATGAAAAATGGACCGAATCACTAGCACTTAAACACTTAGAGCACACGGCAATAGCATATAATGTGCACGGCAATTAGAATTAATCTTGGATTAATTAATACTTAATCCCTTAACTATGTTTAATTATTCAATTAAACATAATACTTAATTACGAAAATTATTTCGACTGAAATAACTGAAAATACTTAATTCCGAAAAATAATATCGAAACTAAAATATAATTTATACTGATAAAAAGTCGGGATATTACAACCTTAAATCTTGAGTTTTTATATGAGTTTAGTTAGGCAGGGTGAAATTAGCAATGTGCTGCCACTGTTACATGATATACTTTAAAAAATAACATAAAGATAAATACGGGACTTCTTAGCAAAAGTATAAATTTTTTGTTCAAAAACGTGGTTCATCGTGAAATTATATGTACATATATATTTAAAAGCATATTAATATTTAACCCATTTTCTTTTGCAACATCACAGTTTATCATTTGTTTTAAAAAAAAAAAATAAATAAAATAAAATAAAAAGAAAAAAAGACCAAAACACATACACATATGTTAATTAGAGCATGGCACCTCACGACCCAACTAGCAAATCCTCCCTATATATAATTTCCGAATGCGCTGAGTCTACATGGCTGCTTCTGATACTTTGAAATCCTACTTGGCGAAAAATCATGCTTCGTAATTAGGTTTGGACAAATAATATTGATATATTAATAATTAATAATTTAGGTTCGGACATTCCATAAATATTATATATCTAATTTAGGTATTTTAATATCACTTGTAATAATATAACCCTTTAATTATTTTTAATTTTACATAGTGAGGCACTAAGTGACTAATATATCATTGACTTTGATTTGTTTCCTTCAATTAGCTATTGAATTGTAAATGTATTATAAACCTTGATAACTTTTGTATTTCTTATCGGTTTTACATATATTATATATCAAATTAATCATCTTTTCATGATCTTCG